GGTTAGGCACTCCCGAGTTCCGTGGTTCTAGCACGGTCGCTCAACTGCTATATTTGGCTAATTTCTGATTTTAAGACATGTTATCCTATTGCAATTTTAGAATTATTTAACCGCTTTTAATTGATTAATTTTAAGAAAGTGAACGCCGTTTAAGAGCGTGTTTTTGGATCACGTCACATGAAATGCACCCAGATCCTCGACATCTCTTATTCAACGTTTTGGGATTTGGATTTGGGTCACATAAATGTGCACCCGTATTTAGGAAGGTAACATTATTTAGATCACGTGCCTAAAAGACTATCGCGTTATTATCTTTGGGGAAGGCCGTGAAATTCGCTAAGCGGCCCATCCCGAAGTCTAAGTATTTTGTATGAACCTTTATCGAGGGCCCCGCAATTTATGGGTTTTGTTTAGCGAGGCTCATCTCACTTTTTATTCAAAGGTCAGTACTAAAGTAACTACGATTTTCTACTTAATATTGTTTCTAAAAGGGCTCTAATTAATTGATGCTATAAAATCTGGGCCTCAAGTTCAAGTCCGGATTCAAACAAAAGGAAAACCCCTTTTAATTTGAACCCGCTACTTAACTCGAAAGCCCAATTTTATACAGGACTTCAGGTGTTTAAACGTCAGGTAACGATTTGAAAATCGTAACTACGACCGAATGTAGCCAGACGTTGGGCCAAGCGTTTGGGCCCAACATTAGTAAATCAGAGTCTGACTATTGACTGGATACAATCCAGACTTAGACGCAATATGGAAATATAAATGGGCTTCGAATGAAATTAAGCCCAATGATGTACTCACAGCACAAGTTACAATGGCAAACATGCACTCAATGAGGAACAAAGAGTTGATTAACAGTTTCAAGTTGTGATTTATGTTTTACACTGATTAACTGAATCAATTCATTTTATTTGGCATGTATTTTTTTACCCAAAAAACAACAACTGCTATGGACTAATTATCTGGAATAAAACAAAATAAAAAAAAACGGCTGAACTTGTCTAATAAAGGAAACGTGCATCTGAGCATTTGTAGCATATTGGATAACACTCGAAATTCATATTGAAATTCATTGATAACAGATAACACATGAGATTTTTGGTTTTGAGTTTATCAAGCTATGAATTCATTAATTGAACCCAAGCTTTTCAACAGCATTCATACTTTCGACTATCCTGATGTGGAGTATAAATACCAGTAAACAAACTCAAAGTTATTTATTAATTGCAAGAGAACAAACTACTTGAGCATTAGACTACTGAAATAGGATGAAACAGACAAGGAATTCATGAGTTCAACAGTCCATAATAAGGCAGTACAGTCCAATCAATCCAGTTTAGCATACAAATGCAGATTCAACAAAATCCTGAAACTAGTTGCAATACAAATGCAGCTTCAACAGAAATGAAAAACAGTGCACTTCATTTCATGTCCAACTTGGAGATTACACGATATGTACCTGGAATTAAGTCACAAGGAGAAGAAGAATAGGAATCAGCAGCAGCAAATGACAAAGCAGCAGTTCAGATCTAAGCTCACAACCCAGCAACCAATATCAAAAGTAATCCAGAAGTGACTTGTATACACAGCACCAACAAATGACCAAAAATAACTTGATTGAACCCAAAACCACTCGAAATCAAAACCAGTAAATCTCTGAAACTTCAGCAACCAAATATTGAGCTAGAAGATGCAAATCAACAACTAAAAATCGAAATTAACCTAAGGTTTTCAATGGAACAGTATTTTTGGGGATTTTTCGAAGGTTTTCTGTTGTTTTTGGTTTTTTTCTGAAGAGTTTAAGATCTAAAAGAGGTTTCGAATTCCAGATCTAGTTTTTGTATCTGAAATTCAAATTTCGGCTTGTGGAAACTATAGAATACTTTTGGGGGGAGTTTTTAGAGGCTGAAACTTTTGGGGATTTTCAGATCTTGAAAAACCTTCCTGTGCAAGGCAATAAAGACTGCCTTTTATAGGCCAAAAACTGAGGGCAACCCTCAGATTTCAATTTTAGCTTTAGTCCCTCTTTTATTTTTCAGTTTTACCCAAATAGTCCCTTATTTTTTGACTTCTTTCTCAAGTTACTGCATTAGGTTTCTTGAAATTCTACTTTGAACCCCATCTAGAAGGCTCTAGGTGTTCTAACTAACAGAATCTTTAGGTAAAATACCTAAACTACCCTTAATTTGGATTCTAAATTACTACCCTGGCCAAACCTCAACCCCCTTTTACTTTGGCTAAACTAACCATGATTAATTAACTACAAGACTAGAAACTAATTAGCAAATCCAAACCTCTAAGGTTGAATCCAATTGATACTAATCGAGACTGAAACCTGACCCTAATGCACACTAACATCAGTTATTAACAAACTAACAATCAAACTAAATCATAATTACCCTAACCTACACTAAACAATCGCAGAATAGGAAACATTAGACTAACTACTCAGAAAATATTAACAGAATCAATCGCAACTAATACAAACATAGAACCAAAGAACCAAATTAAATCAAAATAAAGGACTGTTGGCATGAGTTAGCTATGAAAGAAAATTAGTT